CAAAGTGCTGGGATTACAGGCCTGAACCACCATGCCTGGCCAAATTCAAGCACATTTCAATGTTCACTAACTTAGCCTTTCATAAGTTCAGGTGCTATTACGTTTACAAATCTGGGGATGTAAATACAAATCATGTAGACATCCTTTTGGATGATCATTAATGATTCTCTCTGTTTTGGCAGAACTAATTTTGTGATTCTCAAATCGGCGTGTCTCATTCCAAGAGGGATTTTCTATATAAAATAAAATAACTTTTATTTGTCTCATTTCTATGTCTTTTGTAAAGCTGAGGACAACTGAAATAATAGTTACATTGTGAGGATAGACATGACTATAAATACTGGCAAAATAATTATTTTTAAGTTGTTTTCATTTTTAAGTTTTGTAGTAATAAAAGAGATCACATTATAAGCCATATAGTATTATCCTTGTAAAAGTTGTAAGAAACTAATAATGGATAATTTTACATTTGCTAGCTAATGGTATGGTACAAACAAACATTTATCAAAATAGAAATGAGGTCCATATACCTATCAACTATTGATTATAAGTATCATTAGGAACTATAGAGCCCCAAATGAACTCTTGAGGGTAAAGCTCTTAAAATAAAAAATAACATTGTAAGTGCATAGCTATTACAAACTCATTTGATATTCATTTTAATTGAAATGACTATAATGAACATACTTTGCATTCGAACAGATGTCACAAGTACTACCACAGAAGTTCTAATATAATTCAGTCTTAGTTAAGAATGAGTAAATGAATATTTAAAATTGAATGTTACTATGAAGGAAAACAAAATACCCAATTACAGTAAACATTAGCTCCTTTAAAAAAAGCAAACTAAAGATTTTTATTAAATTGTATTCTTCCTTGTTTTGAAATATACAAAACATAATAATATAGGGAACTTGGTGTTTCAACCTCTCCTTTTCCTTACATCAGCTATTCTGCATTAGTAGGCCTGGAAGATGAAAATTGGGAGTGTAAAAAATGACTCAGAAGGGTGAGCCGAAATTCACTTTACGATATTTAGACTGGTATATCAAAAGGATTTAAAAATGTTATTACGCCAATTTATTTTAGCTGAAGGAGGTAATTATGTATGCCATTTTATTTCAATGGGTCAGACAAGCCCTAATATTCCCTTTAATTTTCTCCCACATGATGGTCTAACATCTTAAATTCCAACATGAGAAACCTTCATGCCATAAATTAAGGACAGTGTTTTCCAATGTGTGGTTCACAGAATTACCCAAGGATGTTTGGTAAAAGCAAATATTCTGGGGCCCCAACCAAGCTCTATCAAAGCCTGAGAGTAAGGCCATTCAATCCACATTTTGGCAAGCAACCTACACATTTTTTGACGCATACTCCTGCTTAAAACAACTGCCCCAAGGTTGGATGAGGCAACATTTAAAGCTATATATTACTCATTTCATTTACATCAGCAAACATTTGTTAAGTACAAATCCTATGTGAATCAAAGATGTGATATATATAGAATATCCAAACAGGCAAGAAGCTTATGAGAAACTGATCTTTAAAGTACAATTTATTATGTACAAGAGTAATCTACAAATGACTGGAAACCCAGTATCTGGATGTCTAGAATTACAAAGAAAATAGTATATTTACTGTTCAGATTAAACATTTACTCTTGATTTCAATTTAGCAATTTTTCTCCTGAAAGGGGTATCTGGAGTTTAAAGAAAAATATGTTTATCTCATCATTAGAAAATGCAACTAACATAGCGCTTAATAACAAGTTTATCCCATTTTTCCTGATGTCTTGTACATCTTACGTTTTGTAAAGGAGAGTGGTAAGTGTGTGAGGCTTCACGATGGCTGAGGGGAAGAGACAGGAATGTCGACGAGGGGGAAAGAAGCTGAACTGAAAGACCAGGAGCACTAAAGGTAAACTATTTTCCTACCTGCAGTCTAATTCTCCTGATACCTCAGCTGTAAGCTGAACATATTTGGAAGCCATATTGTGTTTTTAAATTACCAGAGCAAAATTCAAAAAGTGAAAGCTGACTTTGGAGTTTAATAAAAGAAAGAAAATAAGAACATAAAGCTGAGAGTATCAAGGTTCTTCTGCTGATTAGGAATTTGCCCCCACCTCCACCTCCACCCCAGGACTGAAGACTACTTAACGGGAATCTATGAAAAGAGCTTCAGTAAGGAGCATCTGGTCATGAAACAGTGAAGACAAGCTGATGAGGTTCACTAATGGCTCTTAACTGTCCTTGGTCTTCTACATATAGTCTTTATTTGACTTTTCCTAATGCTGGAAACAGAATCCAGTTAAAATACACATACACCCACAGCTATGAGAAGTGAAAGTAAATAGAAAAAAGAGTTGTGCTGGTTCTCAGCATGGTCTCTAGACCAGCAATATTAGTAGGGTCCCTAATACTTGGGACCCTACTGTATTAGACTCCTCAGGCTTCCATAACAAAATACCATAGATTGGGTGGCTTCAGTGACAAATTTACTTTCTCACAGTTCTGGAGGCTGGGAGGTCCCAGATCAAGGTGCTGGCTGATTGTGTTTCTGATAAGGGCTCTCTTCCTGGCTTACCAGTGGCTACCTTTTTGCTATGTCCTCACATGACCCAGAGAAAGACTTCTTTCTGTTTTTTCTCTTGAGGCCACCAATCCTATAGGATTAGGATACCACTATTATGACCTCATTTAATCTTAATTACTTCCTAGAAGCTGAATCTCCAAATATAGTCACTTTGGGGGTTAGGGCTTTAATAGGAATTTTGGAAGAACATACTTCAGTCCATAGCCCTCATTATAAATACAAATTCTCAAGCACCACCCGAGACCTAGGGAATGGGGCCCAGCAAACTCGGTTTTATTAACTCACCAGTTATCATAATGGCCATTAAAGCCTGAGAAGTACTGGCCCTCAGGATAAAGTCCCAACTCCAGGGAACAGCATTTACTGTCCTTCCCAGTCTACTCCCACCCTTCCTTTCCAACCTTATTTCTTAGAGGATACTCTGTCTAAAATTCTAGCACAAGGCTTTGCACATAGAAAGCACTCAGATTTTCACAATGTTGTAGGAGTTATTAAGAAATTATTTTAGGTGGATAGAGAGGAAAAGGGGTCCTTGGAAGGTTTTTGTTTCTTTTAAAGCAGCTCCAGAAACGTTTCTTGTCTAGCAGGAAAGTGCAGGGTCTCAGAGTCAGGCTGGCAAGCTTTGATATGCAAATGCAAGCCATTAGAAACTGGGTCCACCGAAACAGGGCAATTCCTTCCCTCCTCTTGCCCTTGCTCTCACTTGTACCTGGCAACATGGCCACCCCGACACAGCTCCACCTGGGTAGAGCATCATGGCACCCTTCATTTGCATATGAAAGGCTAGGGTGGGAGGGCCAGTTTTTGGCCGACTATGTGGTAAATAACATGCCTGGTCACACCAATCCTCTGAGCTCTATGCAAATCAGGTACTACCTCCTCCATCCTCCTCATAGAAGCAGCCGCTTTTCCAACACACACACGGTTTTCTCTCATTGGAATCCCCCCTCTCTGTCTTTGTATGGGAGAGCTGTTTTCTTCTTCCTGCCTTCTTTCGAGGTCGTTTTACCTAATTCGGCGCGAGAATAAGAACTCTAGTGTTCCTCCAGTCATTGGAGCCGTATTACTACTTGCTTATAACTCTTCTCTGTAAACTACTCCCTACAACACTGCTTTCAATTCATTGCTGTTTTGGGGCATCCAACAGCTCCTTGGTCTCTGACATAGCACAAAGTTGCTTAACATGAATTTAAAAAAAAATCAATACACTACTTACTACTTAATCATGTCCTTAAGTTTATCAAGCCCTATAAGTGCTTAGTATATTACCTCCTGAAATTCTCACCATCACCCTGAAGTAGGCATTATGATTTCTGTTTGACAGAAAAAGACACGGAAACTGAGGCTTAATATCAAAAGATCTATTGTACAATGTGGTAACAATAGTTAATAGCAATGTATTTATTGTATCATGAAAATTGTTAAGTGTGGATTTTAAGGACTTCATAAAAAATAATGAATATATGTAGCAAGACTAATATATGTTAGTCTGATTTAGCCATTCCACTATATATATATATATATATGTTTTAAAACGTGTTGTACACGATAGACATAGACAATTTTATTTGTCAATTAAGAGAAAATGTTAAAAAGAGGTCAATTAACTCCACCAAAGTCACGTACTTGGGAAGTTGTAAGGTTGGAAATTATGAACTCATGTTTCCTTTACTAGAAGCACATGTTTATTTCCACTGTGTTTTACTACAGACACAGAGATGCAGTTTTCTGACAACATCTCCAATTTACTGCCAAGATTCCCAGAGCATATGAGACTTGTTGCAGTAAAGTCATTTCCAGTATATCTTTTGGAACCTCTCTATTCTCCACGTACCTGACACGGTCTTTCACACACATATATGTGTGCTTACATGTGCACACCCACACACACTAGCACATCGCCAGAAGTTGGCCATCATGAAAAATAAATCCAGCTCGAGTTCTTGGAGTCAAACAGATACCATGAAGTGACTACTGGAAAGAAGGAGCTCTAAATTCTATTGCTATTCTATAATCTATTTGGCTGCAGACAACCTTTAGAATGCTTTCCTCTTTACCATAAAGATACCTGAAGATCTCGAAGGGAATTGCTTGAATGTTCACAGGGAGCTCTGATAAACTTTGTCCCACAGCCACTACTGATAATTAAGCACTAGAAACATATATGCATATAAAATTTTAAAATCCACAAGTTTAAAACAATGGACTACTTTTTCTTCAAAATCATTCTTCCTTAGCTTCATTCCCCAGAAAACAAGCCAAAGGATTCTATTTTACTTATTTACAGTTTCCTTCCCACTGAAGACTGGACTATAAGATAATGAACCACACCTGTTGGATTGTTTAGGTAATTCCAAGCACCAGCTGAGATAGTAATTAAAAGTAACATTCCATTCTCAGCCTACCTGGGGTGTTCAACAACCTTGACATCTTGCAGAAATAGGAGACATACTGCTCGCAGTACTCGGCGCTGTCAGTGATGGCACTTATCTGGTCCATGGAGGCACTGTAAACGAGCTGTGTCACTGAGTATTTTTCTGGGTTGTAGCCGACCACAGTCGTCTGCATCTGCAAGTCATGAGACACTATGGTCCACACTTTGTCCTCTGTGGGGAGAAAAACAACCGGGACCCTGGATCATTAGTATGCAAATACTTCTCCAAATGTCAGAAAATAATTGAGCTCCACTTAACTGGTCTTTTCACTGAGCTGGTATAGAACAGAGTTAAGGAGAGCTATCCTTAAAAAAACCCCTGCTCTTTTCTCATCCCTAAGTTCTTCTGAAGACAAAATAGGAAAGTAATATTTTTATTGAAAACAAACATATCTCCTGAAAACAAAACAAAACAAAAGTAGCTTCTTGTCTGGTTGGTGCTCTAACATCTACAGCGTTACATATCAGGCTCATTATGTTCCAACTTTTTCCTGACTTTGTGATCCACCATTCCCCCGGTGGAACAGGATTTTCTCTTTCCTAAATCAACTATGCTCCCTCTCAAGCTTCTGGGTCTTCTTACATGGTGTTTTCTCTAATCAGATTATGTATCCTCATCTTGTCAACAAATGTTCTTTTCACCCTGACCTTTTAGGCAGAATTAGACATTGCATTCTCTGCTATTGAAATGTTCTGTACATGTGGGATAAAGCAAGTGAGTAATTATCTTGGTGATTTTGACCCTGAAAATTTCAGTGCAAGAAAAGGAGCAGATATAAAATAGATAAGGTTAAATTAAAGCTTCATATACTTTTAAATTTTAGTTAGAAGCATCACTAAGAACCTAAGATAATGTTATCTAATTTTAAATGTGGCACATGTCTTGCCTCTGTGCCCTGAAAAAGCTCCTGTTAAACAAGGACTAACCTCATACACCAGACTGTCATCACTAAATACTATTTCCTCTAAGATAAAACTAGGATCCCTGGAGAAATGATGGCTTCCACAGTTGGAAATGTGCAAGATGAAAGAGGAGCCAGGAACATATCCCAGTAGAACAAAATAAGCAATTAGAGACTGAGGGCAGTTCAAAAACACTCAGGGCCAAAGAAGGGCCAACTTTAACATCAACAAGAATATTCTGCAATGGATTAAGGCATATTAAATATATTTAAATCCTCAAGTATATTAAAATTGTTTTTTAATAAAAGTTTAAATTTGGAATATGCTAGGTAAGATCTCTGCCTTTTAGCCAGATCCAAAGTTGCTTCCACATTTTTGGGTACCTTTACAGCAGCACCCCACTACCCAGTACCAATTTGCTGTATTAGTCTATTCTCATGCTGCTATGAAGAAATACCTGAGACTGGACAATTTACAAATTAAAGAGTTTTAATTGACTCACAGTTTCACATGGCTGAGGAGGCCTCAGGAAACTCACAATCATGATGCACAGCACCTCTTTACAGGGCAGCAATAGAGAAAACAAGAGCAAAGCAAAGATGGAAAGGCCCCTTATAAAACCATCAGATCTCATGAGAACTAACTTACTATCACAAGAACAGGCTTAGGAAAACCACCCTCATTATCCAACTATCTCCACCTGGTCCCTCCCATGACACAGAGTGGGGGTTATGGGAACTATAACTCAAGATAAGATTTGGATGGGGACACAGCCAAACCATATCAGGTGGTATCTAATTGTGGTTTTGATTTACATTTCTCTGATAATTAGTGACACTGAGCATTTTTTCATATGTTTCTTGGCCATTTGTGTATCTTTTTATAATTACTATTATATTTTAAGCAATCCAAATGCACGTCACTGATAGACTGGATAAAGAAAATGTGGCACATATACTCCATAGAATATTATGCAGCCATAAAAAACGATGAGTTTTCATGTCCTTTACAGGGACATGGATGAAGCTGGAAACCATCATTCTCAGCAAACTGACACAAGAACAGAAAACCAAACACTGCATGTTCTCACTCATAAGTGGGTGTTAAACAATGAGAGCACATGGACACAGGGAGGGGAACATCACACACTGGGGCCTATTGGGGGTGGGTGGGTAGGGGAGGGATAGCATTAGGAGAAATACTTAACATAGGTGACGGGGGGGATGGAGGCAGCAAACCACCATGGCATTTGTATATATATATATTTTTTTTTTTTGAGAATTCTCTACTCATGCCCTTTCCTCACTGTTTGATGGGATTTTTTTTCTTGCTGATTTGCTTGAATTTCTTGTAGATTCTGGAGGATTAGTCCTTTTTCAGATACAGTTTGCAAAGATTCTCTCCCACTGTGGGTTGTCTCCTTACTCTGTTGATTTTATTTTGCTGTGCAGAAGCTTATAGTTTAATTGGGTCCCATTTATTTATCTTTGTTTTTGGTGCATTTGCTTTTGGATTCTTTGTCAAGAACTTTTTGCCTAAGCCAATGTTGAGAAGAACTTTTCTGATGTTATCTTCTAGAATGGTTATGGTTTCAGGACTTAGAGTTAAGTCTTTGATCAATCTTGGGTTGATTTTTTACAGAAGGTAAACAATGAGGATGCAGCTTCATTCTTCTACATGTGGCTTCCCAAAGCTCTCAGCACCATTTATTGAACTAGGGTATCCTTTTTCTACTTAATGTTTTTGTTTGCTTTGTCAAAGACCAGTTGGCTTTATTTCTGAATTCTCTATTCTGTTCCATTGATCTATATGACTATTTTTATAACTGTACCATTCTGTTTTGGTCACTGTAGCCTTGTAGTATAGTTTGAATTCAGGTAATGTGATGCCTCCAGATTTGTTCTTTTAGTTTAGACTTGGTTTGGTTATGCAAGCTTGTTTTTGATTTCATATGAACTTTAGGATTGTTTTTTATAGTTCTATGAAGAATCATGATGGTACTTTGATGGGAATTGCAATTTGTAGACTGATTTTGACAGTATGGTCATTTTCACAATATTGATTCTACCCATCCATGAGCACTGGGATATGTTTCCATTTGTTTCTGTCATTGATGATTTCTTTCAGCAGTGTTTTGTAGTTTACTTCGTAGAGATCTTTCATCTCCTTGGTTAGGTATAGTCCTAACTATTTTATTATTATTATTATTACTTGAAGCTGTTGTAGAAGGGATTGAGTTATTGATTTGTTTCTCAGCTTGTTATTGTTGGTGTATAGCAGTGCTACTAATTTATGTTGGTTTTGTATCACGAAACTTTACTAAATTAGTTTATCATATCTAGGAGTTTTTTTGGATGAATCTTTAGGTTTTCTAGGTATATGATCATGCCATCTGTGAACAGTGAAATTTTAATTTCCTCTTTACAAATTTTGATGCCTTTATTTCTTTCTCTTGTCTGCTTGCTGTGGCTAAGACTTCCAGTACTATGTTAAATAGAAGTGGTGAGAGTGGGCATCTTCTTCTTATTACAGTTCTCAGGGGGAATGCTTTTAAGTTTTTCCCACTCAGTATAACATTGGCTGTGGGTTTATCATAGATGGCTTTTATTACCTTGAGGTATGTCCATTTTATGCCAATTTCCTGAAGTTTTTCATAATAAAAGGATGCTGGATTTTGTCAAATGCTTTTTCTGAACTATTGAGATACTCACATGATTTTTGTTATTAATTCTGTTTATGTGATGCATCGTATTTATTAAGTTGTGTATGTTAAATCATTCCTGCATCCCTGGGTATAAAACCGACTGGATAAGAGTATATTATTTTTTTGGTATGCTGTGGATATTTGGTTAGCTATTAATTTGTTGAGGATTTTTGCATCTATGTTCATCCGCAATATTGGTCTGTAATTCTCCTTTTCTGTTATGTCCTTTCCTGGTTTTGGTATTAGGGCGATACTATATTCACAGAATGATTAGGGAGAATTCTCTCCTTCTCTATCTTTTGGAATAGTTTCAGTAAGATTGGTACCAATTCTTCTTCGAATATCTGATAGAATATAGCTGTGAATCCACCTGGTTCTGGACTTTTTTGTTGGCAATTTTTATTACCGCTTCTTCAATTTCACTCCTTGTTTTTGGTCTGTTTAAAATCTTTATTTCTCCCTGATTTAATCTCAGGGGTTGTATATTTCCAGGAATTTATCCATCTACACTAGATTTTTAGTTTGTAAAGGTGTTCACAGTAGCCTTGAGTGATCTTTTATATTTCTGTGGTATTCATTGCAATGTGTTCTATTTCATTTCTAATTGAGCTTATTTGGATCTCCTTTTTTCTTGGTTAATCTTGCTAATGGTCTATCAATTCTGTTTATCTTTACAAAGAACCAAATTTTTTCATTTATCTTTTGTATTTTTTTTGTTTGCATTTCATTTGGTTCTGCTCGGTTCTTTGTTATTTCTTTTCTTCTGCTGGGTTTGCATTTGGTTTGTACTTGTTTCTCTAGTTCCTTGAGGTGTGACCTAGATTTTTTATTTGTGCTCTTGCAGACTTTTTGATGTAGGCATTTAATGCTATGAACTGTCCTCTTAGCACCACTTTTGCTGTATCCCAGAAGTTTTGTTAAGTTGTATCACTATTATCATTCAGATCCATTTTAAAATTTCATCTTGATTTCATTGTTCACCCAATGATCATACAGGAACAGGAAGAGGCGATATAATTTCCAGGTATTTGTACAGTTTTGAGAGTTTCTTTTGGAGTTAATTTCCTGTTTTACTAAACTGTGGTCTGAGAGAATACCTGATATATTTTTGATTTTCTTAAATTTATCAAGACTTGTTTTGTAACCTATCATATATGGTCTATCTTGGAGAACATTCTATGTGTTGAAGATGAGAATGTATATTCTGCAGTTGTTGGGTAGAATGTTCTGTAATTGTCTGTTAAGTACATTTGTTCTAGAATATAGTTTATGTCTATTATTATTATTATTATTGAGACAGAGTTTCGCTCTTCTTGTCCAGGCTGGAGTGCAGTGGCACAATCTTGAATCATTATAACCTCCACCTTCAGGGTTCAAGTGATTCTCCTGCCTTAGCCTCCCAAGTAGCTGGGAATACCCACCTGTGCACCTGGCTAATTTTTTGTATTTTCAGTAGAGATGGGCCATGTTGGCCAAGCTGGTCTTGAACTTCTGATTTCAGATGATCCACCTGCCTCAGCCTCCCAATTGCTGGGATTACAGGCGTGAGCCACAGTACCTGAGCT